ATCTCTTGGCAATGGGCTGTTGGATTTCTAGGTTAGGAACTTGCCCCTCACTTGCCGTGGGTCAGTAAGCTAATATTTAGGTCGAAGACTGTCCATAAAATGTATTGTCTCATTTCAGGGTACATGTACCAAGCCGCAAAGTGAGATGTGAGATGTGTGTTGCCCCAGAAAGGTGAAGATGTTCCCATACTCCATCCCAAAACAGGCCCCCATTTGCCCAAGTAGACACATTAAAAGCGTTGCCCGGTCCGTGGAAGCAGAACTCCTGTCTTTCCTTCCCAGGCCCACACCCTGTGGCACATCCAGTGCTGAAATACAGCCGGTTCACTCCAGTGCAGCTGTCTCAATGGTTAAAACACCAAACTGTTTCCATATAGGGTGCTCAATGGCTGCTGCCTCTTACTAGCCCTTCCCCGCCCCCAAAACACCCCACAGCATTTAACAATTCTGTTTTGTTCCTGGGGAGGGGGGTGCTGATGAGGCCTGGGAGAAGGCTTAAAAAGGAATCCTTAATGTTTAACTGAAATTTTATGAGGTAGTAGCAGAGTCAGCTCTTTTTGGCCAAGTTCCTGATAATCCCAGCTATTCATATACACGACTTCATGTAAGCTGTTTCATAGCTTGATTAACCAGTGCAAATAAATAAAATTAAAAGCAGGCATGTATACCTTAAGGCTCATCTCCTTCAGTCCTGACTTGTCACCCTGAGACTTTCCAAGGAGGAAGCAAAACACGCAAGCTCAGTCCCAGAGACCTTGAAAAAGGAGGGCACAGCCCGGAGTGGCTCCGTCCCCTCAGCCACACACAGAATCTGCGGGTGAGGAGGAAAGCTAGTCACACCTAACCCAACCTTCTCTTTTACTTCTGTGGAGAGTGAGGTTTAGAGAGAAAGTAACGTACCCAAGACCACTGTGATGCCAAGACCAACCTGGGCCTGGGCTCCTCATGCCAGTCAAGCTCTCCTTCTGCAGTAAGACATCTCCCGGATGTTTCACTCATCTCCTTTTCATTGCAGAAGTTGCTGAATAGAAATTTCACAGTTGCATAAAAGCAATGTATTTTTTGAAGCAAATGCAAAAAGTTTTGTCTTTGATTTGTCAAATGCCCTGGATAGGGCATGAAAAAGCAGAAAACACTACAGATGAACAGCTCAGGGAGTGTTGGCCAAAGAGCAGATAAACACAACCGAGGAGTGGGGAGGCACATTTGGCATAGTGGTTAGGACACACGCATCCCACAATGAAATGCCTGCGTTTGACTCCTGGCTCCAGCTCCCTGGGAGGCAACAGTGATGGCTCAAGTACTTGGACCCCTGCCACACAAACGGGAGATCTAGGTTGAGTTCCTGTTTCCCATCTTCCTCTTGGCCCACTCCTGGCTGTTATACACATTTAGGGAGGGAGCTATCAGATGAGAGATCTCTCGTGCTCTCGCTCTCTGCCCCTCAGTAACAGTAGTAATCATAGTAATTTATTTATTTATAAAAAGTTGAATTGAGGCCGGCGCCGCGGCTCACTAGGCTAATCCTCCGCCTTCCGGCACCGGCACACCGGGTTCTAGTCCCGGTCAGGGCACCGGATTCTGTCCCGGTTGCCCCTCTTCCAGGCCAGCTCTCTGCTGTGGCCAGGGAGTGCAGTGGAGGATGGCCCAGGTGCTTGGGCCCTGCACTCCATGGGAGACCAGGAGAAGCACCTGGCTCCTGCCATTGGATCAGCGCGGTGCGCTGGCCGTAGCGTGCCGGCCGCGGCGGCCATTGGAGGTTGAACCAACAGCAAAAGGAAGACCTTTCTCTCTGTCTCTCTCTCTCTCTCACTGTCCACTCTGCCTGTCAAAAAAAAAAAAAAAAAAAAAAAAAAAGTTGAATTGAAAGTCAACCACCAAGATGGCTTCTGGGTAGAACTGAAAAATCAGAGTTGACAGATTGCTCAGTAACGCTCTTAATAATTTTAACAATGCACAGAATTGTATTATAGGTATTGATTTCTAAAATGATATTCACATTTTAGAAATTATCTTTAGAAATCACTGGATAGGGGGCTGGCTCCATGGCTCACTGGGTTAATCCTCCACCTGCGGCGCCAGCATCCCATATGGGCACCGGGTTCTAGTCCCAGCTGCTCCTCTTCCAGTCCAGCTCTCTGCTGTGGCCCGGGAAGACAGTGGAGGATGGCCCAAGTGCTTGGGCGCCTGCACCCACATGGGAGACCAGGAGGAAGCACCTGGCTCCTGGCTTCGTTTCAGCATAGTTCCGGCCATGGCGGCCATTTGGGGAGTGAACCAATGGAAAAGGAAGACCTTTCTCTATGTCTCTCTCACTGTCTGTAACTCTACCTGTCAAATAAATAAATAAAATCTTTAAAAAAAAAAAAAAAAACACTGGATTGCTAATTCCAGTGAGTTGCAGCTGTTTTAATCAAATGATGTGTTAAAATATATATTTTTGAAAGTTATTTGAGTTAAGTACACTATGCTGGACATTACTGGTTGGTGAGAGTATAAGTAGCAGCAGTTGATACTTGCAAACGCAACTGTTCAGGTACCCTGGGCACTCCCCCTGTGATGCCTTTCCACGCAGGCTAGGTCAGTGGTTCGCAACAGGGCTGATCTGGTCCCTCATGGCTGTGTCTGGGGACGGTGCTAATTGTGACAACTCAAGGATGGAAGGGGACGCAGGGGAGGAGTTGCTTCAGGCATCCAGAGGAGCGAGGTAAAAGATGCTGCCGAACGTCCCGCAGTGCACAGGACAGCCCCTCACATCAAAGAACTCGCCATGGTAAAATGTTAATAGTGCTGACGGTGAGATGCCTAGATTAAGGGAAGCCATGGATGGTTTCAAGAAAATATTGGAAAAATCCCTTGGATGACTTTGGTCAATAAGCAGATATTTCTCCCTACATTCACATTCTCCGTGCTCCTGGGAAGCCGGAAGGAATGGTCCTTGTCTTCTGTGGTGTACAGCAACAGCCAAAAACCAGCGGCAGTGCTTATTGCTGGGACTGGCTGACTGCGAAATGAAGACACTGGCTTTCTTTTGATGTATCATGCAGGAACACCAAAGGGATCTTTAAAAGCTCTTTCATCACCTGTTGCAATTTTCAGCAGTGATGATTACACTGGTAGATTTGCCTGACATGAAAGATACATTTCTGCAAAGTTATGTGTGTTAAATTTTACTTCAGACAGAGTCAGGAAAGTCAGTAAATACTTGGGAGCCAGTGAATCTTCTTACAGTGGAAAACTCATCAGCAACAACAACAGACAGTCCAGTTAAGGCATTGTCAAGGGATCTGAACAGACATTTCTTGGGAAAAGAAATGCACATGGCCAGCAAAAACATGAACAGTGTTCAATATCGCCAGCCACCAAGGAAATGCAGTCACAACCACAGTGAGACATCATCTCACTTCCATTAGAATGGCAGTTATCAAAAAGACAAAAGCTAACACATGCTGGCGTGTGTGTGGGAAAAGGGAATCCTTACACACTGTTGGTGGGAATGCAGGTTAGTATAGCCATTCTGGAGAGCAGTGTGGAGGTTCTTCAAAAAACTAAAAGCAGTTCTGTAGGACCCAACCTGTTACTTCTAGACGTATGTACAAAGGAAATGAAATGAGCATATGAAAGAGGGACCTGCACCCCCATGTTCACTGCAGCACTATTCACAGTAACCAAGATAGGGAATTGAGGTCGGCACAGTGGCACTGTGGTTTAATCCGTGACCTGCAGCACCGACATCCCACATGGGCACGGGTTCAAGTCCCAGCTGCTCCACTTCTCATCCAGCTCCCTACTAATATGCTGGGAAAGTAAAAGAGCATGGCCCAAGTCCCTGGGCCCCTGCCAACCACATGGGAGATCTGGAAGATGCTTCTGGCTCCTGGCTTAGGCCTAGCCAAGCCTGGTTGTTTTGGTCATTTGGGGAGTGAACCAACAGATGGAATAGCTCTCTGTCTCTAACTCTGCCTTTCAAATAAATAAATACAGAGAATCAACCCAGGTGTCCATTTGTGGGTGAATGGCAAAAATGTGATATATATATATGTGTGTGTGTGTGTGTGTGTGTGTGTATAAACATATATAATATATCTCACATTTTTGCCACACACACATATATACATAAACAACACAGTGGATGGAGATCATCATGTTAAGTGACAAGCCAGACACAGAAATAATGTGTGTTCTCTCATTTGAAAGTTTAAAAAAATAGTCAAGGGGCCGGCGCTGTGGCAAAGTGGGCTAAGCCCCTGCCTGCAGTGCCCAGCATCCCATATGGGTGCCAGTTCAAGTCCTGGCTGCATCCCATATGGGCACCAGTTCAATTCTCGGTTGCTCCACTTCTGATCCAGCTCTCTGCTATGGCCTGGGAAAAGCAGTAGAGAATGCTGAAGTGCTAGGGCCCCTGCACCTGCATGGGAGACCTGGAAGAAGCTCCTGGCTGCTGGCTTCAGATCGGCTCAGCTCTGACCAGTGCAGCCATGTGAGGAGTGAACCAGTGGATGGAAGACTTCTCTCTCTCTCTGCCTTGCCTCTCTGTAACTCTGTCTTTCAAATAAATAAATAAGTCTTAAAAAAAAAAAAAAAAGTCAATCTGACCTTAGGATAGTAACTCTAAGGACTGGGAAGTGTGGGGGGTGGGAGTGGAAGGAAGCTGGATAATAAGTATCACAACACAGTCAGATAGGGGTAACAAGTTCTGGTGTTCCACAGCACAGTATAGCAACTGTAGTTCACAATACAGTGTTATATGCTGTAGATAGAACTTCATGAGCAGGGCTGGTAGACACCAAACGCAAGGAAACAGAAAGGCTAGCTATCTGCTTTGATTCGTTTACTATATGTATATGTGTTGGAATGTTCTTCTGTACCCCATAAAAATAGAGAAGTATTGTATGTTACTAAAAATTGTTTTAATCTTTAACTGAAAAATTTCTTTTAGCAAAGTCCTATCCTTTAAGAAGAATACACCTAAATAATGCGTTTTAATGCAAATGCTGTGCTTTTCTTGCATGTTAAATTTTTATTACAAAGTTCCATGAATTTTATGTTACAATTTTATTACAAGGTTCCATGAACAGTTTCTCTGTTTCCTTCCTTTTCCTGCCTTTGTTCTTGTCCTTTAAAGAGAAAGTTGAGGGTAAGGGGAGGGGTTAACTATAGATGTATCTGAATTGGGGAAGGTCATTGATCAATCCATCCATCCGTACAACAGTTTAAAAGATGCCTGCTGGGTTACAAATTATTAGAAAAAAGGACTTGGTTCTATATTTAAATCATTAATTTTTTTTATCTCATACTTTTTTTTTCTGTTTCAGTTACTGACCTTTGGCTAGAAGGAGCAGGTGCACTGGGCCCTGCACTACTCTATGGGTGTTTGTTGCACCAGAAATATCCGATAAGGCTCACTCTCTTCACTCACTGGGAGCCTGGTATCAGCAGAGATAAGGGAGTGGCACTGAAGGAACCCAGTTTTCTCCTTATCAATCACTGCCCTGGGGCAACATCCCCGGGTGTATAAACCACTGACTAACCCAGCAGGGCAAAGGGGCAAGAAGGAGGAAATTTATTTGATAAAGCTATCATTAGTGTCACTTTAGTGACAGGAGGTTATAGAGGTGTGACCCAGGTAGGACAAAGCCACTGCCACTAGGAAGGAGAAGCATTGGGAGACCCGGGTCTGACCTTCATTCCTGCTGGAAGGAGGGTGGGGGCTAGGGAGAGGCCAGAACTGACCTTGCCATGTCCAGGACAGCGCCAGTCAGGGAGGCGATGACACACCTGCCATTTACATGGTCCTTCCACTTATATTTGCTCAGTTTTTCCTCACAGCAACCCAGCGACTGGGAAAGGCATCATTGTGAGCAGCTTGTGGCTGCTTGGTGCCAAAGCACCAAGAAAGTAGTAGTCCAAGATCCCTGAGCTACAAAGAAACCTGTGAGGAGGCTGGCACTGTGGCATAGCGGGTTAAGCCACTGTCTGCAGTGCTGGCATCCCATATGGGCATCGGTTCAAGTCCAGCTGCTCCACTTCTGATCCATCTCTCCGCTAATGCACCTGGGAAAGCAGTACAAGATGGTCTAAGTACTTGGGCCCCTGTACCCACAGGAGAGCCTACAAGAAGCTCCTAGCTCCTGGCTTCAGAACATCCAGCTGTGGCCATTGTGGCCATTTTGAGAGGAAACCAGGGGATGAAAACTATCTCTGTTTCTCCCTCTGTCACTCTGCCTTTCCAAAAAAATAAATAATAATAATAATGACGATGGTGAGGATAATAAAAAGACACCTGTGACTTGGCGAGGATATTCTGATTGGAAGCCCTGTGCTTCCATGTACCAACACGCTGGGCTCGCTCCCATGACCAGATTTCAGCTGAGCAGCATGGCACACACAAGGAGGCTTGTCTGGGCTGCCAGGAGTCCTGTGTTAGAGCCACGGCTCCGTCTTCAACTCCCTGCGTCCCCCGGAGACCGTCAGTGGCCCTCCTACAGTCCCAGTTTCTCAAGTGCCAGGAAAGGGTTCACTGAGATGTCCTTGGGTCTCCATAGTGACACAGGTGAGGTCAGGCCGCAGGGCAGCCCGGGCGGTACAGCAGAAGGAGCAGACCCAGCTGAATCGAGAGGCACTTAGCCCGTGCCCACCTTGCCTAGACGCTGTATCCGTGAGCCCGTCTGAGCTTTGCAGCTCCCTGTGAGGTGCTTGCTCAGGCAATCCCTGCTTGGATCAGGACTGAAGCTCAGAGCCAGGCACTTGCTCGACAGCCTTGTCTTACTAGGGCTGCCACACCAAATGCCGCAGACCGGGAGGCTGGAACAACACCAGCGTGTCCCTGCCAGGTCTGGAGGCGGGAGACCTCAGGTCGAGGTGCCATGTGCTCGGTGGCTGGTGAGGTGACTTCCTGCCCGGAAGGCAGCAGGTTTCTTTCTTTTCTCACGCGACCCTTCCTCAGAGGCCTAGAGAGGAGCTTCTTGTAGGACACCAGTCCTAGGCGATGGGGAGTCACCCTGTGACTTCATTTAACCTTACTTACCTCTAAAACACCCCATTTCCAAACGCAGTCCCAATGGAGGCAGGCCTTCAACACATGACTTCTGAGGGGGCACAGGTGAGTCTAACAGCCAGCCATCCAGGAAGCGAGCTGCAGCACCCTGCCTGCTCTCCTGACCGTGGCACATTGCACTGGGCCCAGGAAGCTGCGTGGGGTAGGGGTTGCTGGGTGCAGCAAAGCCCCGGGGTGCTGGGCTCTCAGCTGGACCAGACAGCCCCTCCCCAGGGTCATCCTTCCAAGTCTCTGCCCGCACCCCACCGGCCGAGGGTGGAGAGGAAGATCCTCCTTTGGCCAGCCTCTGTGACTCTTGAGTGGTAGCAGGGCTAAATCAGCGGCAGGCCAGGTCCTCAGGGCCGCCCTTGCAGCCCTCTCGGAACCCAGTCCAATGCTGGACCCTCCCCAGAGGCTGCTGGCTGAACAGGATTCTGCAGGCGCCATTCCTTGGCTGCTGGGATGAGCCAGAGTCACTTGGCGTCACTGAAGCGTGGAAGGCTGAGGACTCAGCCCACATCAGCGGGGCTTTCACTGGGGCAGCGAGAGCTGGGCCTGTCGGTTATTCATTCTCAAAACCTGGGCAGTGCAAACAAGCTCTTCAGACTCCCGAGCAGGGCTCCACTCAGCCGAACCACAGGCGAGTCATCCGCCGGGAATGTCTCCTCCGTAAATCATACTCTCTGTCCTGCGGTTGGGGAAGAGGAGGAACGTTTTCTGCACCACTCTCCGTGCCTGACTTCTCACACTCGTGTTGCAGAGGTGGGAGGGCTTTCCTGATGTTTAAAAAAACCTCACAAGAGTAAGACCTCAGACAGTGTAATGAAATACTCAGAAAATGAAAATGTGTCCTTAACGAGTAGAAAGCCACATTTGCAGGCACGTCACGCTGGGCTGGTCACCGGCATGCGAGCGTTGTTGGCTGGCAAGGCACGTGGCCCTCCCTGCACCTCACTTCACCCTAGAGTTGCCACCCACACTTCTCTCCTAGTAGAGAGGAAACCAGCGCGGGGCTTCTGGTGCTCTGCCCCTTGTCACTGTCATCACAAAGCCACTAGTTGACTGCCAGCTCCCCTTCGTCACAAGCCATAATTCTCTCCTCAGTCTACTTCTAATCAGGGGGAAAAGAAAAAAAAAAAAAAAAAAAACATGTTTTTCAAGAAAAATTTAACCTTGAGCATTTTGGAAAAGGAAACAGCCCATTTCTGTGAGTCATTTCTCTTCCCAAGTGCAGGAACGTCCAGACCGTAGAATAATAGATGGTGTCCCCGCTGCCCCACAGGCCACAGAACTGCACGCATCTGTGTCCTGTTGGTCCAGTCTCACTCACCCCATCCATGGTTGCCTTTTGCAGGTGTGAAAGCTGTGGAGCCGTTTTCCATTCCGAATGCAAAGAGAAGTCTGTCCCCTGCCCGAGGTGTGTCCGCCGAGAGCTGCAGAAGAAGCAGAAGTCTTTCTGGAGGCGGCTGAACATGGACGAGAGCCTGGAGGAGGCGTGCGCCATGTTTGAGCTCTCCTATCAGAACACCTGATTCAGGCCGGCCCCCCAGCCAGGATTCACCCAGCAACCACCCACCAGCCCCAGGTGGCTTCCTAACTAGCCAGTTAGCCCCCTTTGGAAGAGAAGCCTGTCTCATCCTCAGCTAGATATAGCTAGATATATATTTATTTATTTATCTATACACATACCTGTACGTCCTGTGCGTATGTTCTGTATAAATCATTGTCTGAAGGTTCCCAGAACCTCTGGGGCTCAAGAAACTACCAGTCTGTGAATTACATTTAGCCATGAATTTCAGCTGCTCGCCCCCAAGCAAAACGTGGTTTCCACGCAAGGCTTCCTAGTGCAGACTTTTTCTTAGTTGGCCGAGTCCACTTTATGACACAAGACACAGGTGGAAGCATTGCCTGCAGGACAACAGTGCTCCAGGTTATTTCTGTGTTATTTATTTTTAGCTCTCACAGAGGCTGAGGTGACTGGGGCAGGCACCCATCATCATGTGTTTCATAGGAAAATCTTCAAAACACAGAAGTGCCCTGGGCCCTTTGCAGGGCCCAGTGTCCCTTGGCTCTCTCGCCTCAGCTTTTCTCGGGGAGGTAGGCATCACCTAGGCAGGGCAGAGTGACTAGAAGGCAAGTGTGCCAGCTCCCGGCCGGCACGAAGCATCCGCAGGAGAGCCCGTTCTGCTCTGATCTGAAGTTAATCTCAGAAAGCTCTTTGCCTCAGAGAGAAGAGACCCCTGCAAGTAGTGACCGCCTGTTGCTGGCCCATTTGCTGGTACGAATCGCGGCCCTTGCCCCAGGATGTGCCTGGCGAGTTGTAATCATGGCTTTCTCAAGAAGAGTTTCCAAGGGCATCGGGGTGGTATTTACGATGTCCTAGGATTATTGTCACAGCCACTGGTGTGTGACTGGCAGACAGGGTATGTAGTGCATATATTCCGAGACACTCTTCAGTTCCTTCTCGCAGGTCCTGTGCCGGCAACTCCCACCCGACTGCTACTAATGCTTTATTTCTCACTGTTCGTCACTGCACTTTCATTGAGACATTTGTCAATGTAGCCACTCTTGCTTCACATTGTTTTAGTTGATTAAAAAATCAGAGTCACCTGAAACTTAAAATAACCAGCTTTATTATAAAGGAAATACCAAGCTTCCAGTCATGATTAATGAATTAAACCTAATCTTATTTAAGTAAATACATGCATATCTATTTTCCACCTTACAACTAAAAGCTCTAATATAACATAATTGGAATAAGGAATCTAATGAGTTGCTTTGCTACTTGGTAGGATAGCACTTCTCCCACTGCAGTGCCCTTTTGAGAGCCAGCAGAGCAGCCACGGTGACCGAAATGGCAGGTTGGTCCGCACTGGACACCTGACGGCTCTCTGCCCTTCTGCCTTCACCCTTTCCAAGACAGGAAGATGTGCTGGTAACGCAGCGATTCCCCGTGGACTTTGCGGGAAGATGCCTTCATGGGTCAGCGGTCCCACCGCTGTCCGGAGCCGGGGAAATTGCTGGCTCACCAAGTGCATGAACGTTCAGCCCCACTGCTCCTTTCCCCACCTCCTGCTCCCTCCAGCTCCCAGCCCGTGATACTCCAGGAGGCGACGTTTCAGCCTGACGTGTGCGCTTTAGACGTTAGCGTTCCACCTCGCAGCCCGCGCCACTTCTTTTGGCTCTAGAACACACAGCTGCGCCTCGTAGCTGAGCACCACACGCGCATTTCTTTTCTGAGTCTACAGTAGTCACAACCAAGGCATGAAAACTTGTTAAGAGTTTTCACGAGCTGCCTCGTGGTGCCTTTTACTCTTAGAAAAAACAGGTTGACTTTGCCCTGCCTCTAGTTAGAGAGAAAGTTGTACACAAAAGGAAAAGGATGGAAAATCTCAAACACTTGGCAAACAGGCAAACAAATTTGGTCATCTCCTCTCCTCCTCCCCTTGGTGAAATACAGTATTTATATTTTCCAGCCTCGGAGAAGATAGCAGAACATGATCTTTCACTAGAGAATTATAGACCTGCTTATTATAAAACAGATGTGCTCCCATGGCGAAGTGCCTTCTCCCTCCGCCCCCAGCTCCCTGTCACTGTAGCTTACTTTTGCCTTCGCTGTAATTAATGTATCTGTGATTCCAACTGTCAGCAAGGCCATTCCCAGCACACTGCACTTGGAGACCTGAAGTGCACGGCCGTCCTCCCCTTGTGACGTGTTTGCTCTGTGTACAGAGGCTCCTGGCCCAGCTTGCAGACATCCGGGGCTGGAGCTGCCGAGAGGCCAGGGTGAGATCCCGGGTCCCTGATCTAAAACGCCTCTGTTTCCGCCAGTGCCCAGGGAGAGGGCCCTGTTCAATCAGGGCAATGCGCCCCCCCCCCCCCGAACTCCGAGGGAGAACTTGCCTCCCACAGCACTTTCTGCTTATTTTCAAAAGGGGAAAAAAATAGATCACCATCAGCTACCCAGAATGGGAACCGGGTCCCAACTGCTTCTGTTTTCTCTCCTCTGTGGACAACCCTGATGGCCTGGTCGGTGCCGGCCGCAGGCCTGCGTAGACATTCCTTGCCACCACCACCCCCCAAATCAGAGGACAGAGCTGTGCCAGCTGAGGAGCTGGGCCTGCCATGAAAACTCAGAATTGCTGTTTTCAGCCCAGAATGCCTTGGAGCACATGAACGCCCTTACTGTTTGCAAGCCTAACAAATTACTTGGTGCACTGTTAGGTAATTGTTCCCCTGCTTAGAGACTGTCGAAACAAAAGCAGAGCTGTGGATTACCACCTCCTTAAAACCAAGCTAATACCTGCTTTTCCTCGTGTTCCGTTTTTTATCCCATATTAAATATCTCACACGTAAAAAGCATCCGAGAAAATGGCCAATTAATCTCCTGGAGCTGGCCGCCGGCTCCGGGGGAGCTGCTTCTCACTGACAGGCCCGTTCCCTGGAGTGTCACTGGAGGAAATCCCTCCTCCCAGTGCCAGAAACTCATGTGTGAGACGGTCCAACCCTGGTGAAATGTTGGCATCTAACCCCGCAATAAAGAAGCCAGTTCCTAAAATAGACCTCACTGCACACGGCTGCAGGAAGGCCACAGAGTACTTAAAAAGACGGCAACTGGAATGGGGGCCCTGCTCCCCGCCTCCCCCAGGGCCGCCTGGGCCCAGAGTTGAAAGCCTCTTTATACAAAAACCATGTCCACTCTTGCCGGCCGCCTTCGCGTCATTGTCTTCTCCAGGGGACTGTGTCGTGGTCATTTTCATGGCCGGAGTGCTGGCTGGCATGGCAGGAGCCAGACGAGCTGAGAGGGCGGTCATGTTTCAGCTCCTCAAGGCCAGGTCTCCACCGCAGAGGCAGTACAGCTAGTGCGTAGGATGTGTGGTTGCCAACATGGCGCCGTCCTTCAGACATGTGCACCAGGACCATGTCCTGACTTCCGGCCACAGAGAGAACTGGGCTGGTCGTATCACTTGGGCTGCCCTGTACAGCCTGACTGAGCCGCAGCACGGCCTGGGATGTAGGGGCCCCTGTTTCTCTCTCTGAGTGCTACATCTACATGCTGAATATCGACACCTCAAAGAGGCCTCACTTCCAAACCTGAGGCCTTCCTCCCTACTCACTGGCCAAAACAGGCCCTCCATAAATTAATCATTTATCAGGTGGAACTGACGATGCTTCATGCACTCACCACTTCCTGCAAAGGGACGCTGTTCAAAAAAGACACTGCCTTCCCCTCCCTTAGGGTAGAGCTGATGGGGTTGCTCATACATTTGTGCAGAATTAGTGACCCCTCCACTGATCTGTTACTGGATCAACTTCAGCTTTTGCTTCGCACACTGCCTATCTTCAATGCAGCGGTTATTTTTATTTATTTATTTATTTATTTTTGCTTCTCACGGTGAACAGAGATGTGTGCAATTTTCCCCCTTTTCTGTTTCTTGAGTTTTCTAACCCATTTTTCTCCTTATTCTGCAATGGAGCAAAAAGGTAGGGAACCTGGAGTAAAACTGCAAGAACACGAGTCATAAGCCGTATTCTCCTCTTCTCCGGACTGCACTCGTTAGTACCAGGCACCAGGAGCTTCGCGCCAGCACCTTGCACCTCGCTTCCGAGCCTGAGTAGAAAAGAGCTCACTGCTCTCAGCGGACTCCAGCGAGGAGCAAATGAGCCCTGCTCGGTTCATCAAAACAGACAGATGTTGATTTTGATCACGTGGGACAGTGTTTTGCCAGCAAAGTCTAGCACCCAGCAGGCGTCTTACTGGCACAGAATTCTAATTTCATTGGACTCAAAACCACTGACTCCCGTGTTTTAGTGGATGCACAGCTGATGTGAAACCCGGGTCGTTGTTCACCTCTAGTCGGGCATACCCGTGTTGTCAGGGGTCTTATTTAAGACAGCTTCCAGATGATCCTGACATGGAGCGCTTGCCTCGGATGTGAGGGAGGGAAGGCCTTACTAAATGCAAATGAGACAACAGCAGGTTTTCTTTGGTTCCTGGTGAGAAGAGAAGCCACTTGCAAACCTCCTCATCTTGTTAGGGAGCTCCTGAGTGAAGTCAGTTGTTGCCAGGGTAGGAGACTCGGGTGCCTCTTCAGTGAGATCCCCTCCTACTGGTGGGACAGCTGCCAGCCACCCTCTCCCCTCATTCCACCCCCAGCACGTGCCCCATACTTCCATCTTCCTTGCCCTGAGTTCCGAGTTTGGAGTGCCAGCCCCAATTCAGACCTCGTGGCTCATAAGCCAGCTGGCAGACGCGGCGGTCCTGTGGCTCCTTCTCCATGCCAGCCTTCCCGTTTGTTCCCCTCCCTGTAGGAGTGCCTTATAGTACCGCCTCGTGCTTCCAGAAGCCTGCAGCTTCTCCAGCTCAGTGCTCAGCCCTTTGCTTCCTTCCTGCTGGCCACTCTTCATACAGACGTGCTCAGCGTCTGTATATTCTATGAGGCATGTCAGACCTCTCACCTCCCTTGAACCGGTGCCTTAACTGCACAAGGAGAGGAGTTCAACCACATGGGTAGTAGAGAGGTAAAAACACTGGCGACTCAATCACAGAAGGTTTTGGCTTTGTTTTATGCTGCTTTTTTCTGCACTCTTTTTGTTTGCTTTCTGACTCTCATTAACCAAACTCAGGGGAACATCAGGCCAATGGGTAGAGAAATAAAACCCACGATCCAGAACAGAATGTATAACATCGGTGAACTTGGCCATTTTCAGGCTCAAAATTTACACACAAGGATTTTACTTTTTCATTTACTATATAAAAGATGTTCTTTTGCCATGTGTTTCCACATGGGAAGTGGGAAGCCTCTTAGATAAACTGTGACATTGACAAATGTCTCTCAGTGTGGTGTGGGCAGCCCCTTGAAGTGATTGGGCGTTCACCACGGGCAGTGAAGGGTAGTGACCATGGCCGTGCAGGAGATGTCTTCTCGTCACCTTTCCTTATTTTTGCTCATTCAGCACAGGACTGACGAAAATGTTGGGTTTGGGCTATTAGATCACTCCTATTTGTAATAGCTAATGTGCTAACTTACACATATGTTCTTTCTACTTTCTGGATATCATTGCCTTTTGTTTCAGCATAACAACCATATTTTTGTTTGCATCATTTTCCAAAATATAGTAACTGTAATAATGTAAAACTGAGGTGTTGTTGACAAGACCGCTGGTTTTTATGGTTGTCCGTCACATAACTAAAGTGCACCAGTTCCTAATGTACAAAGTGATCTCTCAATAAACTACGCAGAAAGTACTTCCTCTTCTCTTAACTTCATTCTTGTTTTTGAAGAAGTGGTGAACATCCACGATGTCTGGATGTTTCACAGACAAGATTTATTGTGTTGAAAGTCAGCTACCAGGTTTTTAAATATAGCTTAATTTTACAGATAGACTTGGTTTATCTCAACTCATCACTCTACATTATTTGCATCAGCCCTCCCTATGCTCTTGAAAAATACAACTTGGAAAAAGGTGCAGGTGTCCTGGTCTGGGCCTTGCAGGCTGCATCCACGCGTGGTGACTTCCAGCGCTCACACTTGCAAGCCTTCCTAACGAACGCCCTTCCTCAGCCTTCTTGCCCTGGCCCCATCCACCGCTTATGGCTCTGCAAACCAGAGGGGCTGTGCCGGCCAGGCAGCACTAGGCAAGGGCACTGGTGCTTCCTGCAGGCTATTTTGGGAGCAGTGAAGGGATAAAGAGTGAGAAGCAAAGAGTAGATACTGGTGATTAGATGCCACCCTCTGGGAGTTAGGAAGTGATTGGAAATCTCTGCACTGCCTCCCGCCTGGGCCGGTCACCCTTCCACCAAAGGGCCATGGGGCACAACAGCCGTCCACATGGACCCTTTGAAAAGCACCATGGAAATGCACTTTCCCCAAGACAGACGAAAAGAAATGAGAAAAGGCACAGCTGGTGAAACATTTACCAAAGGCACAGCCTGGGCCTTCCTGCCTGACACACCTAGACAAATTCGCCCCCACCTCTCCTACCTCACCCTCAGGAACATGGTCCCGGCTCACGCCCTCTCTTTCCAAGGAGTCATTGGACTTCATCCTCACACGACACCGCCATGATCCGTGATAAAAAGAGACAGGTTAATGTTTCACTGATCAAGCTAGATACACAGTGTGGGCAGAGCCCAGGTTCACGTGATTCATAGGACAGGTTCACTTGTCCCTAGTGGAGCAAACCAGAGGAGCCGGATCACGCCAAAGTTCAGGTACATCAAGTAGGCCCATACAGACGCTGTCAGAGGGGTGGAAAGAGACTCCATTTTGTCAGCTCTTGCCGTCCTCAGGGAAGGATATTTCCCCTGTTCTGCTCTTTGATGATGGCTCAAGATGCTGCGATAGTCCCCACACAAAAATGAGAGTCTCATCATAGATCCTGGAGGAAGAATCTTCCTGAATGAGGCCTGGCGATCTGTATTTTTTAGATGCTCTCAGGCTGATCCTGATGCATTGTGAAAGTTTAAGAACCACTGGTATAAACGAAGCAAGTGACCCTGACATCAACATCTTGGTGGTCAACAGTGGAACGACACAGAAAGGCTGTGGAGGGAATGCGGGCCTTCCTCCTCAAAGACACAATGGAACTTTGGAACTTGCTCAGAGCAATCGTCTTCATAAAATCTCACCTTTACACCCACTTCATCTTCTTCCAGGGTGTGGCTAGTTTCTGTTTGCCCAGTCTGTACCCCGGCCAGAGCCTGGTCTGGAAGTGTCCCGTCCCGAGCATGGCTGCAGGTGACTAAGCTGGCCTACAAAGCGAGCCTGGAACTCTCCTTTGTTGTTTTCACCTCCAGTTATTCTGTGGTTGGTCCTGTAGTGAGGAGTGGCTGCTTCCTAATCAGGCCCAGTGAACATAAACGCCATCACTCTGGATGGCAGTGTTGAAAATGAAAATCCCAAGGTGCTTCTTGCCCAAAATGGCTTAGAAAATTCAGGAAATCCTGAGCCGTGTCCAGATTCGCCTTGGTTCTGTAGAAGAACCACTCATCCCAGATCCAGACACCTGTTGAGTTGATGATGTCTCACTTCAACTACAAGTCACAGGTGAATGGAAACTTAAAAAGACAGGGATTCTTTCAAGTATTCCTCGTGGATGGAACACTTTGCCAAAGAGGTCAGGCTCCCTTAACAAAGAGGTGACGCCCATGCCCATGCTGCTGAACACATGGGAAGCATCTATAGCAGCCACGGCTTTACTCTAACTCAGGCAAGAACTGGGGTCCATGGGGGTCTTCCCTGGGACTTGCTCCAAGGCAGCATCATTAGAAGCTGTGCTCCTGATTGGGAAAAAGTATTTAACATGATTTTTGTAAGAGGACTCTTCCCCCAGGATAACTAAGGCCCTAGTACACAGTACCCAGGAAGCCCAGGGCAACACACACCCAAGAGAAAGATGAAGTTCACTCTCCCTCATTTGCCTCTATTCTCTCCTAGCTGAGGCAGAGAACTCTCGCAGGAAGGACAAATTGTTCCCATAGCTGAGATACAGAAATGCTGATTTATGTACACTGACTCCCCAGCTTACCTGGACAATAGGAAAATTCATTACTCCCCCACCTCTATTTCCTGCTCCTCCATTAAGAGCTGTTGGTTTTAAGCAAATCAGCTAGAGTCCACAAAGTTCATACACAATTTCAGATCCTGCCACACAGGCTCAGGCAGCTGTGGGGCCGCGGGAAATTCCTCCAGCTTTTGTGCAGCCTCTCCCAGTACGGTCTGTTGTTCTCAGGCTGAAGAGCTGCTATTAGCACAGTAATTTTTCCAAATGAACATTGAGCTAAATTATCTCAAATGTATAAAGGAACATCTCTCACTGTGTTATGGAAAATTGCCTCCTAAATTACAAGACTATACAAAGCACATATTAATTCTGGGCCCAAGGACATCCAAATTGCCTTAGATTCCACACTGCATTGTGGTAACACACTCTTAATAATGTCAGGCTCTGAGCACACCACAAAGTACATACACGCTCTTAGGAAAATACACTGGAGTTTTTCTCCATTAGGATCATCACACACACGCCCAAACCCAGCTAGAGGCATTTTGCTCTGAGATTCAAGCCTTTAGCAAAGGAAATAAATTCCAATTGCACAGGCAGGGAGTGAATTTTAATTCTAAACTGGGTCGATGGCTTTTTCATTGCTGCCCATGAGGGAGGCAACCCAAGAAGCAACTGCTGGCAGCCATGGCACCCCAGGTAGATGCCTGACTGCAGATGTCTCCAGAAGTGGCTCCTGCTAACACATTTCAACTCCATGACAAGCTTCCGGGAGAAATCAGAGGCTAAGGCGTCGGTGACAGACTATGCCAAGTGCCAGTGCTTGCAGCGACCATGTCAGCACGTGGTGGAACAGTCAGGTCATACTATGCCATCCCTAAGACAGCGTTTTCAATGAGGATTTTGAAAACTAAGAATTATTTGGGGTTTTGTCCTCATTTGTTTTGCCTACTCTTATTTTTTCATTTTTTTAAAGATTGATTTTATTTATTTGGAAGACAGAGTTACGGGGTCGGGGAGGGGAGATATTTTCCATCCACCTGTTCACTCCCCAAATGGCCACAACAGCCAAAGATAAGCCAGACTGAATCCAGGAGCCTGGAACTCCATTCAGGTCTCCTACAAGGGCGGCAGGGACCCAAGCACTTGGGCATCACCAGCTGCTTTTCCAGGCCGTTAGCAGGGAGCTGGATTGGAAGTGGAGCAGCCAAGAACCAGCACTCGTATGGGAAGCCAGCGTTACAGGCAGTGCCTTAACCTGCTGCACCACAATGCCAGCCTCTCATTATTCTTTAACATTTTGAAGAAATATTACAAAGTAAGCCCTAGAAACAAATGACCTTTTATTGCCACATGCCTCAGTAGACATCTAAAAAAGACGTTTAAATTGTTTTTTATGTAGTCATGGTGCCATTCCACACCTAACAAAATCAACAGTAATTCCTTGGTGTTATCTCAGTTTCTAACACTGAGATATTTATTTAATTGTCTCAGATTGTCTCTTCTTGCCTTGTTGGGACAGCAAGTCTTTCACAAAATTAAAATAAGAACATGAGGACCTCTCCTGAAGCTTTGATAAATGTTGAGCAGGCACCTCTTGTCATCCCTGACCCTGCTGGAAGGCAAAGGGGCCCCACTCCCCCCCCCCACCCTAACCCGGGTAGTCCTATTGGCTTATCAGTCAAAGTCCCCTTCTTTCCCAATCTTGGCAGCAAGAATTTTTTATTTATTTATTTAAGTGGCAGAAAGAGGGAGAGAGGAGAGGAGGAGGGAAAGAGAGAGACTTCCCATCCACTGGTTCACTCCCCAAACACCAGGAAGCTAGAACTTAACCCAGGTCTCCCATGTAGGTAATAGGATCCCAATTATTAGAACTGTCACCTGCTGTCTCCCAGGGTACACATTAGCAGGAAGCTGGAATGGGAAGCAGAGCCGGGACTCATACTCAGATATTCTGATATGGGATGTGGGTGTCCCACATGGTGTCGTAACCACAGTACCAAATGCACACCCCTGGCCGACAGGAATTTGATTTTGTAGGAGCCTAAGCACATACAGTGGATTGCCACCTCTGAAAACATTGTCCATTAGTTCCTGCTCCTCAGAAGGTACCACAGGGGCCAGCACTGTGGCACAGTAGGCATAGTAGGATGCTGTGGCACCAACATCCCATGTGGGTGCTAGTTTGTGTCCTGGCTGCTCGTCTTCCGATCCAGCTCTCTGCTTATAGCCTGGGAGAGTAGTGGAAGATGGCCCAAGTGCTTGGGCCCCTGTACCTGCGTGGCAGACCCGGAAGAAGCTCCTGGCTCCTGGCTTCCGATCGTCTCAGCTCTGGCAATTGCAGCCATTTGGGGAATGAACCAGCAGATGGAAGATTTTTCTCTCTGCCTCTCCCTCTCTCTGGCTATAACTCTACCTCTCAAATAAGTAAATAAAATCTTAAAAAAAGAAAAGAACGTGCCCTGAATTCTGTTCTCCCAAAGAGCTGATCTTTTTAAGTCTTTAGATTCTATGACAATACAACAAATGGCTTCTCTGTTGAAGTTAGCCAGAGCTGGTTTCTGACCCAATAGATTTCTCCATAAAATTTCTCCCTACAGCTGCCCCGTTCCTGTGCATTCGCAAGGTCTTCCTCACCTACACAAACAACACACCCACAGCATGGACATGCGACAACAGGGACCCTGCCAGGGCTCCATTGCTGACCTCGGCTCAGAGGGCAGTCCCAGGGCTGGGAGGGAACCTCAGCTGGCCAGAGGCTCTTCAGAACCTCCTGCAGCTGATGCAGCAACGACTTGACCAGCAGCCACACTGAGAGAACCAGAATGGCTCTCCCTGTAGGTACCTGATCACGCCACCGTGGCCAAGGGCGGACGCACCGATCCCTAAACACACACTGCCTGTGTCAAATGGTACAAACAGCCACCTGGCTGGCCCCCAGATCAACCTGCACAGTGTCTCTCACCTTGGTGAAAGGAGCCGGGGAGTAGATGTTACCAGCAGCTTGAGTCACCAGGCAGGGAGTCCCCCCTGTCCCCACAGTCATCTGTCACTTGGCACGGCCTGTACTTTGCCTCTTCTGCTGAACTATGGTCCCGGCAGAGACACATCTCAGTGCTGATAACACCTCAGGGGCTTCTGGGACCCCAGGCTGTGACAAAACTGTGTAAAGGAGGGATGTGATAAGAGGCACAAAAATCTGTGAAAGTGAAGAAATCCCTGAAAAGGTTTTCCCAAATCAAGGAATCGATCCAGATAGGTGGGTATTACACAAGTTCAGGGGAACATGGAATTAAAAGCTAAGCTTGTTGGCTGCCGCCGCGGCTCACTTAGCTAATCCTCTGCCTACGGAGCTGGCACTCTGGGTTCTAGTCCTGGTTGGGGCGCTGGATTCTGTCCCAGTTGCTCCTCTTCCAGTCCAGCTCTCTGCTGTTGCCTGGGAAGGCAGTGGAGGATGGCCCAAGTGCTTGGGCCCCTGCACCCACAAGGGAGACCAGGAGGAAACACCTGGCTCCTGGCTTCGGATCGTCTCAGCATGCCGGCCATAGCAGCCATTTGGGGGGTGAACCAACGGAAGGAAGACCTTTCTCTCTGTCTCTCTCTCTCACTGTCTAACTCTGCCTGCCAAAAAAAAAATTGAAATCCAAAAAGTCTTCAAAAGAATGTAGGAAATACATATTACAAAAAAAGCAATACAAGCATTTCACAAAATTTTTGCATCTAAATAAACTCATCTTTTAATTCCATTTTTCATGAACTTTTTGAATTCCCTCATATTTTCTAGAAAATGTCACTGCTTGCAGTACGGTGAGCTGGGCGCACAACTGATCCTTTTCCCCCAATCAGATGTAGATGACTGTTTGATTACGATTGTGATTTAAAGCAAGCGAGAGCCTAAAATTATCTATCATTATGGTCAAAACTTTTCAATTTTAATTTCCCCTTAATAAAACTCTTGATCTCAGGCTACAGAAAGGCAGGGATATGGAAGGAAAGGAATTCCCTGCTGCGATACGAACATCGCACTGCAGCCAGAGTGTCCGTCCTCAGGCCAGCGGCAGCTGAGAATGCGTTAGAAATGCGTGTTCCTGGGCCTGCCCTGGACCTGCCATCGCAGACAGCGGGTGAGGGGAGGAGACAGGCATGTGTGTTTCAGCAACATCCTCCCCCTCCCCCAACCTACACCCACCCACCCACCCACCCACCCACCCCCCCCCGCCACGGGATTCTGAGGCCAGCTGAACACCACCGCCAGCAGTACACCTCCCCGGAGACCCTCCTGTGTGCCAAGGGCTCAGTTAGTGCTAAGAGGCCTCCCGCTGTCGGTGAGCACAGGGTGGGCTGCGGGGGCAGCAGCAGGGACCCATGCAGGCGGTGCTCAGATCGCTGGCTCCTCCGCCATCACCCCGGCGGGGCTGGTGCGCTGAAGGGGCCACAGTTGTCACATTCTCCTCTTCCCCACGGGGCTGTTGTGAGACTCAAGTGAAGCCATGTGCACGAGGCACTCAGCACTGGGCCTGGCACACACGAAGAGGGCTAGAGAGGTCAAGGACTGCTTTCTCCGGGTGCGGAGGGAGGATGTGGTCCACCCTCCCTGGCCCGAAGGCATCCCCGACGCTGGGCTGGGCAGGTGTCCTCCTCTGCAAAGGAGGGGTGAAGCCGGGGCCCAGGTGGCTCTGAGTAGGCTCCCGCAGGGTGCAGGTGACCTTCGGGGGGCTTCCTGGGCAATCTCAGCCCAGTGCCATTATTTGGCTACCATTGTGTCCTTGTCCACCACGCTACCCGACTCTTCTGGAGGATCATTTCCAAGGTCAGAATAGCCTTCCGCATCCCCTGACTTCCTGAGAATATGAGTCCCCAAAATAAAGAGCTTTGCCTTCTCCCTCTCTGGCTCCCGTGAGGGCTTCGCCATCCAGCAAGCTCAACATCCCGGCTTTCCAGCATCCGGTACGTGGGTTTCCTACCGGATTCTCCCACCTTCCCAGGGAGAACCCAGGAACGCGGGATACAGATGCCAGCTCCACTGTTTCCCTTCCCACAGAGTTGTCCCGGAGGAGTGAGCACCCCCACCCCTACCCACACCCTGGGCTCTGAAGCTGACTGCAGCCAAGTCTTTCTGGTCCGTCCCCCCCCCCTCCCCGAGTAATTCTTGTCTCTATGTTTATTATTACTTTAGAAAGCCCCACACAAACCGAAGTCCTGTGCCCCCTCTCGGGGCCTACCCCCCCATCAGGAACCTGGGCCCCCTGTCCTCCTCCTCCCCACCCCTCCTTTTATTTCTGCGGCTCCCTGATTGGAAAAGCACAGCCCCCTCCTTCCTCCCCAGCCCCACCATTATCACCGCCAATTAGTGCATTGTTAGGACACACAATGGCGTTACTGTAGCCAGCGGAATGGGAGGCCTTTGTGCTTCTCCAACCGGCCGTGGGGGCAGTCAAGTTTCATTTAGAGACTTAAAACACAACGCCAGAAGAAAAATGCTATCAGAAAAGCAAAGAAAAAAAAAAAAAAAGAGGGCGGGGGTGGGGGGCGCGCGCGCACACACACACACACAGGGGGGGAAAAAAAGGTAAAGATGAAGATGAAGGAGAAGAAAGGCGGGGGGGGGAGGGGGGCTGCTATTCAGGAGTTGGCCGAACCCATGAAAAGCCCCAAGTGGCCGCTGCACACTGCAGTCCCGCTCCGAGCACAAAAAGGGCCCGAGCTTAACAGTAATTAGTGGCCTGGTCGTGCTTGGAACGCTCTGTGTCTTTAGAGGCTTTTTCCAACTCCCCCACCCACCCCCGACTTCACCGTTAAAGGGGGTGGGAGGAGAAAGGTAGGGGATGCGAAGGGAGGGCCTCCAAGCGCGCCCCCACCCCACCCCGCCGCCTCTCCACTGGACAGGTAAATCGGGTTTGATTCTGCAAGGCTTGTGGCTAATTACGGAGGATGTTTCTCTGTAAGAATGTGACAGATGGGTGAATTTGCGAGTCACGGTTTTGTTTGTTTCAAGTACCTTTCGAGCAGCCGAGCGCTTTTCGCAGCCTGGAAGGTGCCCCCAGGGGCCCAGGCCCTTCATCCGGTGCCCAGGGGCTGCAGAGCTGTTCCTGGGTGCGAGCCGCGGCGCCCGAGCTGGGCCCGCCGCCCTCTCTCCCCGCGGGGCCCGGCCTCGGCGCGTCCAGGTGCGCTGCCGACGCCGCCCGCCCCCGGCGCTGCTCCTCGCCGCTCCCGCCCGGCGCGCCCAGGGCCGGGGGCTGTGGGGCCACCGAGCCGCCCGGACGCTGGAGTCCCGAGTCACCTCACGGCTCCTTCTGCTGCCTCCCCTGCCCCACCACCGCACCTTCCAAGTCCTGGGAAATCCAGAGCCGCCTCGTCAACTCAGATTTATCACCAAACAAAGGTATTCACGTGGTGGTGTTTTTGTTTTTTACATTTCTGGGACCAGCACAGCCGGTTTATTCCTGCTCCACTCTGCAGCTCCCCTCGAACACACGGAATCTACTACCCACCCCTTTCCCTCTCTCGGGGTCAGACCCCGACTGGTAATATATTTATTTGTTTACAAACAAGCTCAGGGAGACATGCACCTCACCAGGTTTGAGTGAACCCCTGTGTGAGAAGCAAGACAATCGGAATTTGTTCAGGACGAGCCGCCTCTTTCTGTCTGCTCCCGGGCACATTCCTGCCCGGGAAGGAGACTTGGTGTGTTGGGGAAGGAAAGTGAAGACCGGAGTCCTAATCCACGTCCCCCCAGCACGTGGCAAGAGCCAGTGTGTGCCTGTGTCAAAAGCAGGTCCTCTTGCTCACCTTCGGACGTTGTCTCGGGAAGGAAAGGAGACAGCCCCTCTGTAGGGAGGAGTGGGTACTCCAGGCCACTGGCTGGGGCCTCCCTTGCCTCCTGGAGGTGCCTGGGTGGTGTCTGTTGTTTCCGTAGTCCCTCCACGCTGTGATGTGGCATTGAACTGGTGGATGCCCTGTCACAGACTGGCTCCCTCACCACTACCTGCCCCACCCTAAATAAAACACCTGTCCTGATTCAGCCAGGAAATGAAAAGTGAACCCCTCCCATGCTGGCCCATAAAAACGTCACAGATAGTCAGATGAGAAATGCAAGTCTGAGGGAGGGGTTGTTGAAATAATGATGATTAGGCTTCCGCTAAACTCTGTATTTAAAAAAAAAAAAAAAGATTAATTTATTCTAATGGCAGAGTGACAGAGAAAGAGGGAGAGAGAAAAAGAGATGTTGCATCCACCAGTTCACTCCCCACATGGCTGCAGCTCCATCTGTGTCTCCCATGGGGTGGCAGGGACCCAAGGATTTGGGCCATCATCTACTGTTCTCCCAGTGCATCAGCAGGGACCTGGATTGAAACCAAGCAGCTGGCACAGGAGCAGGCACTCCGATACAGGATGTCACAGCTCAACCCACCGCACCACAAAACCGGCTCCCAATGTTGTATTTCTACAGTAGAGTGGGAAGGGCATTTATTTGGCCCCTTAAGATTTGGATTAGAAAAAGCACTGGCCTCAGTGGAAAACACGGTAGAGGATTCCTGAAAGGGTTCTTGGCCAGGGGCAGGGGGCAGGTGCAACCGCAGCTCCTCCCACTTTCCTTCCACCCTCTGCCTTTTGCTCTGGGTTGGGTTGAGATCCCAAGAGATCTCACTGGAAGGCAGCCCTGGCCGCACAGAACATTCCCAGAACCCGGCCCACTGCTGGGTACACCTCCTACCTACCTTTCAGAGCCTGCTCTTCCTACTCACACCACTCTGGTCCTGGTTCCCTCTCCAGGCCATTTTAATCACCTCTATCAGTCTTCCTGCTGACCTCAATGTGGCCTTTGTGCAAGCCTGATCTTGCCTCACCCCAGCTTAAAAAAAAGCACATGCAGGACACTGTCCAAGCTCCAAGGCATGACCTGAAAACCCCTGGATGAAATGGTTCTACCTTTCTTCTTTTTTTTCTTTTAAAGATTTATTTCTTTATTTGAAAGTCAGAGTTACACAGAGAGAAAAGGAGAGGCAGAGAGAGGGAGAGGTCTTCCATCTGCTGATTCACTCCCCAGTTGGCTGCAACAGCTGGAGCTGTGCTGATCCAAAGCCAGGAGCCAGGAGCTTCTTCTGGTCTCTCATGGGGTATAGGGGCCCAAGGACTTGGGTCATCTTCCACTCCTTTCCCAGGCCACAGCAGAGAGCTGGATAGGAAGTGGAGCAACCGGGACGTGAACCGGCACCCATATGGGATGCCGGCATTGCAGGTGGCAGCTTTACCCACTACACCACATTGCCGGCCCCCCTACCTTTCTTCTTAACTTCATCTCCTGCCACCAGGATGGCTTTGATGTGGGCAATGAACATGATAATTTTTGATCCAGGTTCTCCTCTCCCACAGAGAGAGAAACTCGAAGTGAAGACTGGAGTCCTGCACAGGTAGGAACAAAGTTTGTTTGGCAGTGAGGAAATAGACGTATGTTCGCGTGTGAATGTGGGATGCCCCATACTGACAAATACCCAACATGAATGGGCCAAAGAATTATCCATGAACTACAGAAAGAGGGGAAAAAAAAAGGTGGCTCGGGGAGAGGTGCATCCGAGACCAGTGCACAGTGGAGACAGCAGAACACGAGAGCAGCAGGTCCCAGTGCATTCCATGGAGGAGAGAAAACAGGAGCAGCGCCCCTAAGTGAGGTCCGTGGCAGAAAGAGAGCTCTGTCCCTGTTCCACCTAAGGAAGGGGGTAGGGTCCAATAGGATGTGCACTTGGATGGGGTCTTAGCTAAGTGCCCTGGTCCCAGAGGCAGATGAGACAGGTGCATCCTGGGAAGTTGCACAGTTAAAGAGACAGCGTTGTCGTGCAAGGATACAAGAGTTCCAGCTCACCTAACTCCCTGCCTAGGCATAGGAATTGTGCATCTGCTAGATTTAAAGCTCACCTGTCACCATCTTAAGATTGTGAAAGTTTTTTTTTTTTAAGTATTTATTTGAAAGAGTGACAGAGAGAGAAGAGGGAGGAGAGAGAGAGAGAGAGAGAGAGAGAGAGAGACAGAGACAGCCAGCTTCCATCCACTGGTTCATTCCCTAAATGCTTATAACAGCCAGGGATGGGCCAGGCCAAAGTGAGAAGCCAGATCTCCAAAGTGGGTGGCAAGGAATCGTGCACTTGAGCCGTTATCTGCTGCTTCCCACGATACTGTAGCAGGAAGCTAGATTGGAAACAGAGGCAGAGGCGAGACTCAATCCTGATAAGGGTGGGTGGGTGTCCCAAGGTGCAGCTCAACCAGCGGCACTACAGTGGCAACCCCCCTACTCTTCTCTCTGCTCATGCGCTCCCTGGAAGATGATTTCTCAAATAGCCGAGTCCCCTGCACGTATCAGAGACTCATCCTGCGTTCTGGGCTCCTGTGTGCAGGCATTTGGAACAGAAACCAGCAGGCAGGGGTTTTCTCTCCATCTGTCCATCTGTCTGTCTCTCTGTGTCTTGCAAATTAAAGAAAATACATTTGTTAATAATAATATTTTTAAAATAAGAAAAACAAACAGTAGGTTCCATCTCTTGCTCTCTTGGCCCTTCTGCCGACCACAGCCGATGAAGCAGCGAGAGGCCCTCACCAGGCGCTGGCGCCTTGGTGTCGACTTCCCAGTGACCAGAACTGTGAGGAATGAATTTCCTCTCTGTAATTGGCCTAGTCTGTGATAGTCTGTTACAGCAAGACAAAACCGACCAACACCCCCGGCAAGTGCGAGGACCGGTTCTGCCACTCTCCTCCCACTCCACGTTGTTCTAACAGCTGATCTGTTCGAGTCGGCCAGAGGGTTTTGCGGTTGCCTCCGTTTGGAAGCTTCTCCTCTGCCCTTGTTTATTTGCAAACTTCTAGTCACCCTTCAAAACTTTGCTTACTCTGTCCTCCAAATGGTTTATTTCCCTTTGGCAAGTATCCACCTTCCAGCCTCTCACAGCGTGTCATTATGTATTTCCTGCCTCAGCTTAGAGGTTACGAACTCCAAGGGCACGGAAGTTATGTTTTGGACAGTACTAGGGTTTCTGATGCTTCTGGGAGTGATACTGAACCAAGTGCTATGTTTAAGAAGTAAGTGTCAGGGCTGGCGCTGTGGTGTAGCTGGCTAGGCCTCCGCCTGTGCTGCTGGCATTCCATATGGGCGCTGGTTCGATAACCGGCTGCTCCATTCCCAATCCAACTCCCTGCTAATGTCCTGGAAAAGCAGTGGAAAATGACCCAAGTGCTTGGGCCCCTGCACCCATGTGGAAAACTCAGAAAAAGCTCCTGGCCCCTGGCTTCAGATCAGCCTAGCTCCTGCCACTGTGGCCATTTGGAGAGTGACCCAGCAGGTGGAAGACCTCTCTCTCTCTCTCTGTCTCTCCCTCTCTCTGTCTGTAACTCTGCCTCTGTTTAGTTAAAGTGTCACTAAACACCAATGACCATACACCTGTATTATCTTTACAGATTTATTGTGACTGTATCTTGACTCCAGCTTCACACCCTGGGGCCATGGTATGGCTCACCATTGCCTGGGGCCAGGTAAGTAGCTGCCGCTATGCAGTGTGGTTTATTTGTTTTTGACATTTACTTATTTATTTTAAAGAGTTACAGAGAGAGAGAGAGAGAGAGGTCTTCCATCCACTGGTTCACTCCCCAAATGTCTGGAAAGTCCAGGGCTGGACCAGGCTGAAGCCCAGGACCCTGGAACTCCCATCTGGGTTTCCCATGTGAGTGGCAGGGGCCCAGGCACTTGGGCCATCTACCACTGAGTTCCCAGGTGCGTTAGCAGGGAATTGGGTTATGAATGGAGCCCGCATCAAAGGCAGCAGCTTAACCCACTGCACCACAATGCTGGCCCCATGTGGTTTGCTTTAGAGTTACGCCGTCCAGTGGAACATTCCAGGATGATGAAAATGCCCTGTGGCTGTGCCGTCCAGCATGGTGCCACTGGACACATGCAATGTGACCAATGCAACTGACAGCCTGAATGTTCAACTTTATTTCATATGTCACTTAACAACGGGACTGCCTGAGAAAGGGGTGCGTAGGCAGCTCATCCTCGTGCGGCATCACAGAGCATGCTTTCACAAGCACAGATACCGCACTAGGGACCCGCCCTCAGACAGGGAATGTCCCGTTACGGTTACCAGGGTGATTACACTGGTCTACGGTTCCTCCAGCGTTCTGGAAGCGTTCTTGTTAAAGTTATGGCTCCTCACAGGTCCTGTGTGGCCAGGACCCTGGTACTGGGGTGACACCAGTGGAGGGCCATCGGATGCTGAGACTGAGTGAAGCGGAGAGAAGATTCTGTTTTCAAGGTGTCATTGTGTAAGGGCTCGTATAATGGATACAGGTAACAGTCGATCACCTGGCACAATTTCTCTGTGAGAGCAGCTGGGTCAGTAGCGATCACATCAGATCTAGACGGCCCAGCTGCAAATCACAGGAGAGGGAGTCCCACCCCCATCCTCTTAGCATTTGAAGTGGCCGCAAAGTGGTAGAAAGGAGAAAACTCCTATAGGATCTGAATTATAATTCCATATGCTACTTTTAAAAAAATATTTTCTTTGAAAGGCAGAATTACAGGGAGGCAGAGAGAGAGAAAGAGGTCTTCCATCTGCTGGTTCACTCCCCAAATGGCCAAAACAGCGAGAGCTGGTGATCCAAAGCCAGGAGCCAGGAGCTTCTTTCCAAGTCTCCCACGGGGGTGCAGGGGCCCAAGGACTTGGGTCATCTTCTACTGCTTTCCTAGGCCATAGCAGAGAGCTGGATCAGAAGTAGAGCATCTGGGATACAAACTGGCACCCATGTGGGATGCTAGCACTGCAGGTGTGGCTTTACCTACTATGCCACAGCGCCAGCCCCATCCAAATTCTATTTTAAATTATAATCAAAACGATAGATTAATTTCAGTCCTCCAAGCAAAATGTTCCTTCTCCTCACTTTCAGTGCTCCCCCACCACCACCACCACGGCCTCCGGCTTTCCTGGCCCCGGGGCAAGCAGGAGAAGTTAGCCGATTAGCGACACCCAGAAGTTAGGATGAAAATGAGGGAAATCATTGCTGCCACTGTGAGTGGGAGATGTTTTTAAGGATCTGCTGGTTGCATTTAGAATCAGGTATGCAGCATCCTCTCCCTTTGAGGGGTTCTTTCTCTTCTTTCTTCCCCTCTAGGAAACACTCGCTCATCCTAATTACCCTTGCCAACACTTACAGAGGCTCTGAAATGGCCGTCCACTAAAAGTGTACTTTGGCAGTCAATATTTGAGTCCAGTGTGCTATTTCAGAAGAGTTGTGTGCAAACATGTGGCTCAGGTGGGAGGCGTCCCTGTGTATCTAGTGGATGGGGAACAAAGTAGAGGGAGCAATGCAGAAGTGAGCGTCAGCCTGAATTAGGTTATGAATTACAGGCGCCCTGTGTGGTCGGAGGTGGAAAAGGCAGACATCTCCAAGGCTACAGTCAGGAGGCAGTGCCACCGAGGGGATGGCCAGAGCCTGCAGGAGGGACAGTAACTTGTAGCCATCATGCTGGCCATAGAGGCTTTTCCAGTCCCAGGACCCAGTGTGACCTGGAGCAAGAGAGGCTTGGCTATGGCACTGTGGACTTCACACTTCACCCCGCATCCCCACACCCAACCACAGGACACCAAACTGAACCATGGGACCCCTTCCTGCTCCCCTTCCAAACACACACTGCAGGGAGTGACCCAGGGTCATGGAACAGAGTAGTGGAGAACAAGGTTGTTGTGCCTAACACCAAAGGGACAGGAGTGAACACGGAGCCCCACCTCCTCACCACGCCCATGTGACCTTCGAACCGCACCTGACCGGGCTTTCCTGAGCACCCCGCATCTATAGAATGAGGAGGATTCATCCTTTGCTGGGTTGTGACAAAAATCACGTGAGATAAGTAGAGCTGCGGGTGCTGGGGGACGACTCCGCACAGACTAAGCCCCGTAATAAGTGGGAGCGTTAGGATAATCCTTCCTGGAGAGGAGCTCAACAGAGGCATTAACAGCTGTGACCCTTTGCCCCCTGTTTGTTTTTGTTTCAATCCTAATCTATGGGTTATCAGGCCTCTAACAATTCTCATTAGTGCTTCCCAAACAGTAGAATCTTGAAATCTCTACAAGTTTTTGAAAAGACCATTTGTTTTATTTTTTAAAGATGTGTTTATTTCATTTGAAAGGCAGAATTAGAGAGGGAGGGACGGAAGAAATCAGAGAGAAACAGAAAGAGAAATTGATCTTCCATCTGCTGGTTCACTCCCCACAAGGCCACAATGGCAGGACTGGACCAAGTTGAAGCCAGGAGCCAGGAGTTTTCACCTGGGTCTCCCACATGGGTGGCAGGGGCTAAAGCACTTGGGCCATCTTCCACTGCTTTCCCAGGCACATTAGCAGGGAGCTGGATTGGAAGTGCAGAATCAGGACTGGAGCCAGAACTCCACTATGGGATGCCAGCATTGCAAGTGGCAGGTTAACCTGCTGAACCACAACGCCAGCCCCTCTCCAATTTTTAAAGCAATTTGGCCTAATTCTTTTTTTTTTTTCTTCTTAGGACTGGCAGAACAGATTAAACTTTGGGAAGATTACGCAGTGAGGTATCATGAAACATTTAGTTTCTGGATTTGACTGATCACAGTAAATCATAGAAAGAGAAATGCTAATGGAACCAAATACACCCTGAAGTGGATATAATTGTTCCTAAAACGTGTGCAGCACCCACCCTGGGGCAGCCCATGCCACACAAACACGGCTGCCTGCTGTGGGCTCTTATTTTTATAATAGTAGAACTTGCATCAATGAATCTCCCTTAAATAATCAGAGATAATTGATCAACACTTGCGTCAGAAAGGATGTAAAATCTTGTTTTTAAATGTGTATGATTTGATATATGTAAAAGAAAGAAGTATCAGGTTATATAAAGATTATCTTAAAATCCCATTAAAAATCATACCAGACTATAGGAAATTTACAGAAAAGAAAGCTTAAATAGTCAATAAACACATGAATGATACAACAGACTACTATGTTGTGGTTAAAAAGAACAAGTTAATAGAGCCAACATTGTGGCCTAGCAGATTAAGCCACCACCTATGATGCCAGCATCCCATATGGGTGCCAGTTTGTGTCCCAGCTGCTCCACTTACAATCCAGCTCCCTGCTGCTGGCCTGGGAAAAGTAGCGGAGGATGGCCATAGGGTTTGGGCCCCTGCCACCCACATGGGAGACCCAGATGAGTCTAGTGGCTCCTATTTCTGGCCCAGCACCAGCTACTGAGGTCATCTGGGGAGTACATCAGCAGATGGAGACACTCTCTTTCTTTCTCTGTGTCTCTCCTCCTCTTGCTGTAACTCTGACTTTCAAAATAAATAAAGAAATCTTTTTTAAAAAATAGAATAAGTTGACATAGAATTACCACATGATCTAGCGTGTTCTCCTCTAGATATATACCCCCCAAAAAATCAGGGATCCAAATATTTGCACACCTATATTCAAAGCAGCACTATTTGTAATAGGCAGAGGATGGAAACCACTCCAGTGTTCAACCATGAGTGTGTAAGCACAATTTATATACACAATGAAACCCTATTCAGTGGCTGGCACTGTGGTATAGCAGGTAAAATTGCCGCCTACAGCACCAGCATCCCAAATGGGCACTGGTTCCTGGCTGCTCCATGTCCAATCTAGCTCCCTGCTAATGGTCTGGGAAAGCAGCAGAAGATGGCCCAAGTCCTTGGACCCCTACACCCATGTGGGAGATGCAGAAGAAAGAAACTTCTGGCTTCTAGCTTCGGACTGGCCTGGCTCTAGCCATTGCGGTCACTTAGGGAGTGAACCAGCGGATGGAAGATTCTCTCTCTCTCTCTCTCTCTCTGTCTTTCAAATAAATAAATCTTTTTTTAAAAAATAGTATTCAGCCTTATGGCCGGCGTCGTAGCTCAGTAGGCTAATCCTCCGCCCTGCGGCGCCGGCACACTGGGTTCTAGTCCCGGTCGGGGCGCCGGATTCTGTCCCGGTTGCCCCTCTTCCAGTCCAGCTCTCTGCTGTGGCCCGGGAGTGCAGTGGAGGATGGCCCAAGTCCCTGGGCCCTGCACCCAGATGGGAGACCAGGAGAAGCACCTGGCTCCTGGCTTCAGATCAGCGCGGTGCGCCGGCTGCAGTGTGCCGGCCGTGGCGGCCATTGGAGGGTGAACCAACGGCAAAAGGAAGACCTTTCTCTCTGTCTCTCTCTCACTGTCCACTCTGCCTGTAAAAAATTAAAAAAAAAAAAAAAAAAGAAATGACAGGTGGAAGCCTGCTACAATATGGAAGAATCTTGAAGATGTTATGCTAAGCTAGATACAAAAAGGCAATAGTGTGGTTCCACTTACATAAGGTACTAACGCAGTTGAATTCACAGAGACAGAACGTGGAAGGGGGGTTGCCTGGAGCTGGGGAACGGGGTTGGGGAGTTTGAGCCTAGTGGGTACAGAGTTCAGTTGGAGATGGAGGGTGCTGCCGATTGCACAACACCGTGAATGAGTTGAAACACAC